GGTCTTAGAATTTTGTTGACTCTTACATTTCCACTTAAACATTTGGAAAATTTCACTAAAATTTGTGAGAGTAAAGAAAAAGAAGACACCAGAAGGCTTGGGCAACAGATTGATCCCTTCCTCTGCCGCAACCAAACAGAATCAGCGGGTAGAACAAAGATCAACAAATCAAATGCTGATTCTATCCTCTCTACCCACCTGCTGCACCTATGGCAGACATTACTAATTGATCATGACATTCCCACTGAGTACAGACTTGGCCTCCAAAATCCTTCTCAAAACAATGCTCCTGGCAGCTCATACCAGTCAATGACACTTGGCAAGTGAAACGAAACTTATTTAACATAACAGATGTCAACTACTATCTTTTAAATTCAGGCTTCAGGAAGGAGACATAATCTCTAGTTAGACAGACCTGCTTTGAACCCAGGGTTCACCACATGGCTGATATCAACATGTAGCTCAACAATTAACTGGGAGGGGTATTAAAAAGATAATATATGTAAAGTGCCTATTAGGGAGTGCCTAATTGCCAGAATTTGTAGTAATAGAAGTAGCAGTTGTTGGGAAAATATCAAAGAAGTTATTTTTTCTACCTTGACTTGGTAAAGCCCACATTTACACCCAAAGTAATATCGGTTTAATTTTGTGGGAAAGGTGGAGGATTGCCACAAAAAATAAGGAATAATTTTATATATGAGGGTTCCAAAGAGGATATAGCAGCAAGGCCAATAAAAAGGAACAGTTGAAAAGAGTCAAAAGCTGAAAAGGTAAGAAGCAAAATACAAGATCCTCAGTAGATGAAGTTAACTCAGAATTAGTAATTAAGTCTGATATGTATTGAATACTTCTATAATATGCTGGCACTCATGTTCCATCTCATTTAACTCTCACAGTGACCCAGTACTGAGATGTTGGTCACTGTTATTCTCTTCATTCGACGCATAAGGATCCTGAGTCTTACAGAAGTTAAGTATATTCACCAAGGCTATACATTAGACGGGAGTAGATCCAGAATTTGAATGTGGGTTTGTCCAACATCAAAGCCAAGGTTTTCTACTATTTCACTGAGCTATGCTGCCTGCTTTTAAAACATCATAATAGGGCCGAGCCCGTGGCGCACTCGGGAGAGTGCGGCGCTGGGAGTACAGCAGCGCTCCCGCCGTGGGTTCGGATCCTATATAGGGATGACAGCGCTCACTGGCTGAGCATGGTGCGGCCGGTCTCAAAAAGAACAACAAAAAAAAAAATCATAATAGACAACTTTTATTTGGAGCTTTCCTACTTATTAACGTTGTTACTTCATGTGGGTTCGGATCCTATATAGGGATGACAGCGCTCACTGGCTGAGCATGGTGCGGCCAGTCTCAAAAAGAACAACAACAAAAAAATCATAATAGACAACTTTTATTTGGAGCTTTCCTACTTATTAACGTTGTTACTTCAGGTTGAACCATATCGAATTGCCATTTTTGTATGTCAAATGGTTGAATACTGGCAATTTTGTATTTCAAGCAATATTTTAGTCTTTTGAACCAGTAACTGCATTTGGTAGTTATGAATATGACTTTTAAAGCTAAGGAAATGTAGTCTGAGAAAAGATCAAGGATATTGAAAAGAGTCTTAGCAATCAGAAGATTAAACAGGAAAAGTGTGTGTTCCATTTTGTCGTTCCTTACTGATTTCAACACCCATGTCAAATTCACTGTTATGAAAGCATCCCTGATTTCCTGCCTTCTTTATGGAGAGCTCAGTTTCCTCCAAACTCCTTTCCATGGATCACCTCTGTCATTCACTAGGAAATGGGATTGCCTTAATGTTTCTTTCAGTCCTGCAACAGTCTTTAAATTTTTAAAAAATCTTTTGCACAACCATTGTCTTTAATTTGAAGCCATATTACAGTGTTCCCTTTGATAGCTCCTTGCTTCCCTTTATGATTCTCTTGAGGTACCATCAGTGTTTGTCACATCCTCTAAACACTAAGCAACAAATTTTACCAAAGATTTTTAGAGGAGATGGAGATCATAGACATCACATACTACATAGCATTTCAAACCCAGAATATCTCCATCAAAAAAAAAGTACAAAAACAAAAGCCCAAATAAAACAAACAATTACCCCCCCCCGATTGCCTTACATTTCAAACTTCACCTTCCAGCCTCCTCCAGCATCCCCCAAGTTCCTCTTCATCTCCTTGTTTTCACAGAGTTCTAAATTCCTTCTCTTGTGCAATGCAATTTAGCTCTACCTCAGCTCCTCCTATTTACATCTTCACAGTTATTACCATCATGCTCAACAAACTAAAAACCACCTTCTAGGTGCGACTTTCTTAGAAGGTGGCAAAACATTACATAGAATAAATAATATTTTCAATCCATGTTACTTATCAATATGTGTTATTTTCCCAACAAACTGTAAGCCAATGTCTTAAACACAAGAACATTTATTTAGCACCTACTATGGTCAACTACTATGCTACATACTTTACATGGACTCTATATCTTACACTTCCTGAAGACCCACCAGGACCAGCCACATTGCCAGCATAAAGCAGTTATAAAAAATATATTAGTAAATTGGTTTCCATTGTACCCATTCATCTTTCAACAGTACCGAGAAGAAAATATGTAAACTAAGATGAATGTTGATTCACTGACAGAAATAAATCCACTGTATGCAATTTTAAGTATCCCTAGTATTAACAAAAAAGTACCTTTTATAAATCACTACCTGCCTTTCAATAGATAAGCTATCAACTTTTAAAAATTGTAAGTGTTTTTTCAAACTAGGTATCTACCAACAACAAGAAATGTCCAAACTTCTGCCAAGGAGAATAAAAATAAACTTTTTTTTTTTATTATACTATAATCTCACTAAATAGAATAAATGCAATCTAAATGATATGTTTGTGTATATAGATTAGAAGAACACTTTAAAAACAAAGATACCCAATGCTAGCAAAGATGTAATAAAGCAAGTATATCCATGCAGTGATAATGAGATTATAAATAGAATTACCCCTTTTGGAAGGAAATGTGCCTCAGTGTGTGTGTGTGTGTGTGTGTGCGCAAGCGCGCGCGCGCGTGTGTGTGTGTGTGTGTGTATCAGATACATCCAAGATATTTATAGCCTTATTTCCAGCATTAATAACTATGAGGAATCTATTTTGAGAAAATAAGGTTAAACATTTATGAACAAAGATGTCCACTGTTGTGCTATCTCAAAATAACAACACTTTAAAACAACCTTGACATATAACATCAGAAATACAATTAAATAGTTTTTATGTGCCTTCCCAAACTAATACTATACAGTACTCTAAAAGCCTGATAATAAAGGGTTTGTGATGATGCAAAACTTTCTTATTAAAACGTTAATTGAAAAATTAGGAATGCAAAGTAATATATATACACACAAAAAATCACAAATGTATAAAAATTATTAAGAGAAAATGATATGTATATATTTAAATCTTAGAACTATGAATATTTTTTTCTAGTAGTTTATATTTTTGACACTTTTTGTAGTAAGGTTACATTGCTTATAATCAGAGAATAAAAAGTGTTTATTTAATGGAAAGCTCAGTATTGGTGTATACAAAGGAAGCTCTCTCACCCCTCTTCAAAACAGAGTAACTGTCTAATACCTACTACACTCTGAACACTCCTAGTTATTAAATTCCTTTCTACTGAGTTGATACCAAGAACCACAGTAGTTTATTTTCCCAAATCAGTTAATATTCATTGTATTGATAATTGAAATTTTATAAGATAGTAAAATGTTACATAAATGAATGAAATGTGAGTATGAAAAGTCATTTCTACAAAAAGACTCATATAAAGATGCATCACTACAAGAAGAGCTGTCAAATTAAGTGTGGATGGGTGGTATTGAAAAACATTGGGAAAAATTATAAAAATCTAGAAAGATTTTCATTCAGACTATTCTACAAATGCCTGTAATTCTTTTTCTTCAAAGAGCAAAAAATGAAAAGTGGATACCATCTATGATATATCATTAGAGTGGTTTGTGCAAGAAAGATGAATGGATCACCAGTTAGCACACTTAAGCTCAAGGTGAATGTCTCTGTCTTCTACCAAAAATGTGACATTTGAGTGCACATGCATATGTTTTAAGTGAAAGTAAAATAACACAATTGTATATGCTTGAATCAACTTTTTAAATAAACCCACCAATTACTGCTCCCCACTGGTCAAATAAGTAGGTCTCTACTGCATGTAATATACACACACAAAAGTTACTTCTAATCACATATATGTAAGTTGTAATTTATTCAAGAAACATTATGTATGTATGTATGTGTTTAAGAAATTATGTGTACATTTATAAATGAACATACGTGCATATATATGTATATACATACAAAGGTAAATTTGTATATATTTATATATGTGTTGGTCTGCATACACACACACAACACACATACACTCTCTCTCTCTCTATATATATATATACCATGAAATTAACTACTCTATTGCTTCACCAAATCATGCAATCATGCAATAGACCTTTCGTAAGGAGATAATTTAGCAAACTCTAAGTGTGAAATTAAACTTAGCGACAATAACCATGGTGCGTGTAGGCACCATAGTTCTGGATGAAAGCATCTTGTTTAACTTACTGTTCCTTTACCCTTATCAGCAACGGCCAGAGCCAAGGAATTTCCTGTTCAGACATCCTAAAATTCTCTTTCCGGTGGGGTTCAACTACCTCAACCTAAAGTACTTAGTGCAAAAAACCATTTGCAATCAACTCAGATCTTTGTCTAGGAACTCTTCATTAGTCCAAGTTTTTAAAGCTCTTCAGTATTTTTTAATTAATTTTTTTAAAGTAAACAACTTAAAATATTTACAGATAACATCTTATCCAATTTCATTTGTACTCTTTCTGAATTTCATTAATCACACAGAGAATGCACTCTGCTATCTAATACATATTTCATATACACACACAACTTCCAAGTGAAATGTAAGGCTTACCTGCAGTTCCAGAGAGTTCCACACTTAAGGTTCGTTCAATAGTCTTGTTCTCAAATGGGGAACCCTTGGGGTCACTGGAAGATATGGCACATTTATAAAAACAAACTGAAATGGAGTTGCTGTAGCCAAATGTATTAGAACCCCCTTCCCTTTATGAAAATGGTTACATTTCTTAATACTTACTTTGGTGACTCGGGGGTCAGAGGAAGAGATAAAGTTGTTGGTTTGGCTGAACAGAAAAAGAAAAGAAACTGATTATAAAATATTGAGTGTTTTTTAGATTTATTTTCTCTCTACCATTGTCAAGTTGGGAACACAACCAGGAAACTGGAAGACTGAACTCAGGAAAGGCCTGAATATTGGATCAAAGTCAGACAACAGTCCATTATGCTAAAACAAATTCCAAACAACATTTGCATCAGTAAACCATCATTTGAAAACACATAAAAAACCAGAATTTTCCCAAAATGTACCATCCCTGTTAAAAGATACAAAATTTGCATCATATCGTCAGAGAGAAATAATGTTTTCTGTTTTAATTTGGAATACAGTACATGGTTTGTTTTGACAAGAAAACTGCAGAGTAACTTCAAGGCGACAGAACGTTATGAATATTCAGTTGATTTTACTACTAAAATGTATAATTTTATATCTAGCTCTGAGAATAGGTTATTTCTATGAGGTCAAAGCTCAAGCAATAACTATTCCACTCACTGAAAATTAATTGAGGGATTATGGCAAATTGTGGGCATTGACCCAGATGGTTTAAAAGGAGATCAGATCCCCAAATCTGATAGACAACTAAAGTAAGATACCATGTTTATCAGTTTAGAGATCTATAGACTTGCAAAGAGAGCTCACTACTTTCTTTTATGCTGTCCTAAATCTTACCTCCTATGGGAGGCATTTCCCAATAATGAGGGGTGGAGTAAGAATCTTCTCACTCCAAAATTTCAATTGCTTCTCCATGGCAGTCTTGTATTTTGAAGTAGGGGAAAGGAGGAAGGAGGGGAAAATATGATGAGAAAACGTGCTTGGGATACACATCCATGTATTATGTATATAATATAGCTATATATTTAGATGTATGTAGATTTATGTCTAATTTTTTTCTTATCAAAATAACTACTTTGAAAAGGTTAAGAGGTAGTCATTTATGTAGCGAAAATCATAGAGTTGAAAACAGAAAGGTCTTTAGAATAAACCTTCTTATTTCATGGATAAAGAAACTGAGATCCAAAGATGCTAAATGATATTTCCAAGGCCATAAAATTAGTTACTGGCAGAGTTGGCCAAGATTACATATCCTTTTTCCTATTATCAAAAGGAATTGCATTCCAAAGACTTTAAAGTAAATTAATCAACCCCAGTAATTAAGATCCAATGAAATGTGAAAATATTATTTATGTCTAAATTAGCCTGAAATTAGGTACTTTACTTGATAAATAGTATTTACATACTTAATTTGTAGATTTAGATTTAGTTTTTAAACAATTGAATGGTATGTCATCTATATACAATGTGCATCCAATAATATGAAGCTCATACTGTCTTCTACAAATTAGGTACATTGATTGATTGGCTTTTTCATATATGCAGATAAATGAGCTAATTGTACATTTATTTTTGAGTATGTCTAATATAATAAGCCTTTCAAAAAGAATGCGTTTATGAAGGAACTTTACTTTTATGGTGCTCAACTAATAATTAGGATAATTCATATAGGTTCTATAGAAAATATAACAAGAGATGAACTGCATGCTCCGTCACACCATAAACATACATTGAAAAACAGTCACTGAAAGTCCAATTTTCAACATGTAGGGTAGGCTGTCTGAAATGCTCAAAGGAAGATCCCTAAAATTCTGGTAGGAGGGTACAGGTAAAGCCAAGAGCAATGGAAGAATCAGCAGCAACTGTATTTAATGGGACCAAAGGCAAACAGGAAATGAGAGCCATAGAAAGGGTACAGTCTCCAAACCACATACAGAACCCAATTCCTGAATAAGCCCATGTTCACAAACGCTACCACTAGAGAAGGACCGACTTGGTTTCCTGGAAGTTTAATCCACACTGTTCCAATTACTGGTAGATCAGAAACTGGTAGGATTCTTGAGGGCAGGTATGCATCATTTTCATGCAGATTAGGGCATTTTTGAATGAATGAATTAGCAAATAAATGAACAAATGAATAAGTGGGACACCAACCCACACCAAAGGCTAAATGATTATCCTAAGGAAGTGAAAAGAACCTGACCCCACAATGTTACGAAGACCACAAATGAAGTGCAGTGAGAAAAAACTATAGCATGTTAAGAAAGGTAACTTCAGTAGATCCTCTTAGTTATCTCTAATTGTTCATATACTCTTTACTTTTTGATTTTGAATAATAATTTAAATAATATCTGAAGCTGAGCATTTATTGGTTATTAATAGCCAGCCATGTTTTATATCTTTAAGGCTTTAAGCTACAGGTTTGTTGTGTGTTTGTTTTGTTTTTTTGTCAACAGGCATTGTTCCCAGATAAGCCTTTTATTCTTTGCCACAGATAGATACCTTTAAAAAAATCTACATATAGCCGATTTCCTCTAAAGAATATTTCCTCCAGAGGCCTCTTTAATTCTTCATTGTCATGATTTGTAAATGTTTACAGTAATGGTGAGTGAATTTAATAAATAAAACAGCTCAAAATTTAAAAGAACCTACTTAAAGAAAAAAAAGGAAAAGGGGCTTTAAAACAGGCTCTGATGGGCTGGGTTCACTGATTACAGGTTTCATCGAGCTTGGTTGGGACTTTAAATTCATCTCCAGAAAATGAATGACCAGCACAAGGTAGAAAGTAGCCGGTGAATCTATCGGTTCACTCACTAGAGCCAGCCCAGAGGGCTTTCCTTCACCTGAGGCCTTCAGCGCTGAACAGTCACACAGTAAAGTGGTTCTGCTCTAAGAAAATCTGTTACAGTGCTTGAGATGAGGATCCAATCAGCGCAAAGACAGCTGGAGGAGAATTGGCCATTTTGCTAAATGTATTTTCCCAAACTGACAGAAAGCGATAGACAGTGAGTTGGAGATATCCACCAGGGAAAATCTAATTGAGAGACAATATAAAATATTAAAGGAAGGTTCCTGAAGATCCTGGGCTAATGATGAGGTAGGGATGAGGGAGGGAAATTCAAAACCCTGGGAAAGAAAATACTTATTAAAATCAGCAGCAACAACAGCATACCTGGATGAAATAATCATGGTTCAGAACAGGGATCAGAGGTTACCACTCTGCAGCTAAAGGGGAAGTTGGAGAAACAAAAGGGAAAAAAGAGGTGGGTGTTTATAATTGCTATTTTAGAATATGCTGACTTCCACTGCAAGGTTAGAGGTGGAGTTAAGGTAGGAGCTGGCATGTTTTAAAGCAACAGCTACTTTTGACAAGCGCTTTTTGGGCCTCCAAGACTACAATATTTTGAGAAGGAGGAGCCGAAAAGAAAGAAAACAATATCTCTGCCAAGAGAGGTTTTCCCCAAATCACCCAGATCTGCATCAGAAGCATCAGCCTTCTAGCAATGCACAGGGAACAATAAAAAATCAACCCAGATGTTTAGTTTGATCTAGGCAATAGTTTTTTTTTTTAAATAGACAGGGGGAAAAATGAGGAATTATTTAAAAATCTTATTTACAAAAATGAGATCATCCATGAGCATATTATGTGGTCTTAAAAAAAAAGAATGCATTTAATAATCAGGAGAGGTCGCATAAATACTATTTACTCCTTCTTAAGGGATATACAGCAAATCAGCAATGCCTCATTTTTTTCATTACTGGAAGGGAAAAAAGAAAAGCTCTTTATTGAATTGGCTAGCCCAGCTTGCACACAACTTCAGTTATCTCAGCAATTCAGGGATGCATATAAACTTCATGTGATGTTGCAATTCCTCCCCACCTCCTCCCCGCCATGAGGCTAACATTTCAGGTGTCTTTTGGTGATCGTGAATTAGACCACCTATCAGCTCAACGGGATATATTCATCCTGTGTTTGAGGAAGGATTTTTTTCCCCCTTTACAACAAAGTGTCAAATTCTCTTTCCACTGAGAGACACCAAGGGGATGGGAGCATGAAATTTTGCTTTCTCGGACCTTATATGTGCTTTCTTTGCCTTGGGCGCCCTCACTGACAGGTCGTTTTGGTCCCCAGCCTACCTTGTAAATGTTGCGACTGTGATTGTGTGTGGGACTTCTTTTTGGAGGTGCATTTGTCTCTGCTGCTGTTCCTGTTCTCTGAGGGTTTGGTGTGAGGAGGGTCATCGTTTGTGGTCAGATACTTGAGAAGCTCTGAGCAGGGACGTCTTTGTGGCTTTTGCTGTTGACAAATGCTCTTCGCTTTATTGCTCCATGAATTCTCAGTCTTAAAAACAAGGCATAAAGAAAGCTAAAATTAGTGAACTGAACCTTATCAGAATGGATATAGGTTTTCTGAAGAGATGAGATTTTCAATGAAGTGTTCAGTCTAAGTGTACTAGATCTATGAGCTGTGAATAATTGTTTGCAGAACAAGGAAAGAAAATTACATTTAAAATTCCTAAATGACATTTATGCTGCTTTTTATTTCATTTCTCCTACATTTCAATGTTCCTACTCAGCAACATGTAACTAACAAGACCCTACAGCGCCTTTACTGTGAATAAAAAAATATAAATAAGCTGGTTTAAACCTTAATTTGCCGCTGATTGCTGAAGCCCAGTACTCACAACTCTCTTAAGTACCCCTTAATGCTCCGTTTTCACTCACAGTGAATGGCAAGACAAACATTGTTTAATACAGCCTGCTAACCGAATTATGTCATTGCTAGCATTCCATCCAATTAATGGCAGAGATAGATCTTCTGCAGTGATTCCAAAGCAATCTTTCTCAGGTTAGACAGCTGGCGAAACAGCAATCCTACGTCTTAAAGTCACTCATAGATAAGACCAGCCTATCAGCAAATTTTACTGTAGCCCACACGCCCGCCTGTATTAATAAAGTGGGCAAGGAAGAACAGACAGGGCCACTGCATTCCAATCGACCAAAGACAAAGCATAACTGAGCTCTTCCTCATTTAAAGGAACTCAAGTACTGCTTTCAGAGACCATTTCTTAATCTGGTTCACCAGTATGAAGCAGCTGCAGGTTGTAGGTTGAATTAATACATTTAAACCTGTTTGTTTTACAGCTTCAAGCAAAAACCCTTTGTTACTTTCTCCCCTGTATTAAAAAGTTTATGTTTGTACCTTAACAACTGCAGGGTTTGTTCTGATCCTGTGATTATGGTTTGCATGGTTCTGGGTACTGAGACCACTGCATTCATTATAACTTAGCTGAGTGTTGGCTGGCGCCAGTAAGAGCTTCTTAAGCTAGAAACATATCAGGAAGGGGAAAAACAAGAAAAGTTATGCATCTTTCAAGCATTAGAATAAGTTATTGAAATTTCAAACTTAAAATTAATTAATTATAATTATAAAAATTAATTCTATCACTAATTACATCACACTTTAGCACAATAGTGCGAAAGAAAACGTTTTTTAAAAAAGAAAAGTTCGGCATTACATTATCAACTGCAAAAGCATTTCCTTTTCCTACATTTGAGACTTGGTATTGTCTACCTTATTTATTTTTTTAAGATGCAATGAAGCAAAAGGATTTCCCTAAAATGATTCCCAAGTCACTACTAGATGAGAAAAGTTGCCTTGCTAACTGAGGACTTGGGAGTTGGAGGACATAGGTATACATTTTTCTCATCAAAACCCCAAATAAATCAAATGGCAATAAATAAAAAGATTCTGCAATGCTTTGAACCATGTCTCACAACCAAGTACACACACTTACCAACTCAAAGAATGTATGGGATAAAAGAGTGACTATCACTGATTTCAGAAAGGAAGGAAAAGATTTGTCAGTAGATGGAGTTCTGGCCTATAGATCAGGATTTGTGGGTTCTGACTCAAGCAAAGCATTTACTGTCCCTTGACTTCTGTTTCTTCATTTGACTGGATGACCCTTGAGGACCTCCCTGCCCTGACATGCAGTATGTCTTTGAGTTAACAATCCCTCCCAATTGAATAAACTGTGCAGATGACAATCATCTGGTATCAATGTAAAGCAATCGAGGTATAAAACAGCAAAGCCAAGGACGCAGACAAATGGAGGAACTGAAGAATAAATAAATAGCAATTATTTATGAACTATTTGCCTGTAGACCAGAAATCCAAAAATGCAAAGAAATGCATGTGTTATGTGGAGTTCTTTTAACATTTAAAAACTCAGAGATATGAGAGAAACCACCTCTAAATGGCATGTCAAATCACATTATTAAAGTTTGGAGGATGACATTCCATTGTTTACACAGAATGCTCATACATCAGATTTATGGCAAATGGCAAATGTCTACCATAGATGAGAAGGTAAACTGTATCTTAGAACTAATAAAATTCTGGTCAGGCACCGCACTGAACACAAAATTCACTTTTCATTGCCAACAAATTCACTCTTCATTGCCTACCATAAATTTAAGTAACTTAGGTTGCAAATGTGCTATTATTTTTCAATCCTTATAAGAAGTATGGACCCAAAGTCTTAAAATATTGCTCACCCTTTGATCTACCAATTCTACTTCTAGAATTGTACACATAAGTATAAAAATGTAAATATGTCAATTACTATACAATTCATAATAGTGAAAAATAGAAGGGAAAAAAACCCTGTATACCCAACCATAAGGGATTGCTTAATACATTAGAACATCTTTATGCAATAAAACACTGTGCAACAATTAAAAATTATGCTTATATTTAATTTCACCAACACATTCATGATATACCTTAAATCAAAAGAAGATTTCAATCATTTTTTATATTAGAAGGTTATCTGAAATCACAAGTGAATTTTTAGTCTCTTCTTTGTCTACATTTTCTAAGTTTTCACCATGAACATAAATAATGCTAAGAAATAAAAATACACACACTTAAACAGCAAAAGATAGTTTTTAAAAAGAAAACTGTAGTGAGACCCCATGAAGAGCTGTATTAGCAACACTTTTAAACAGAGAATCACAGGATTTGCAGCTCTGAGTGTGCTTGGGGATTGTTTGGCATCAGTTTAAATTAAAAATCCAAACCTTATTGTTACTACATCATACCCATGCAGCGGGTAGCCAGAGGCAACTCCAGTTCCTGTTAAACAGTAGGAAGGATTCTTACTAGAGACGGTTCTTCTGCCTCCTGAGGTGGAGGGGTGCCGTCAGGCATGGAGGAAGGACGAGCCTCGTTGTCAGTGGTCACGTCTCCATCTGTCAGAGCATCAAATGAGGGCAATCCGTCTTCATCCACAGGGAGACTGTCCAGGGTCTCTGTGAGGACTGCTAGCAAGTTTGCCTCATTCTCTTCATCTATCTTCTGCAGAAACAAAAAAGAGAAGACGTGAGTCAGTTGACATTGGGAGGTAGGTAGCACTATTAATCAACATCGCCTGACCATGTTTAACCAAAGGAGTAAACAGTAGGTGAAATCTTGAATGCCCACACCAGAACACAAAGACCATGGCTTCCTCAAACTCCAAATTCACTTTTGGTCTGAATCACATAACTTATGAATACTTCTTCTATACCAATTTCTGATTGCTCAGCTATCCAATTTAACTACTGGTTATGTCAGTGGTTAACAATGCTGTGTATGATTCTGTCTTGCTCTCATTTTCTGCATGCTCATGTCTTATTTCCCTAAGTACAAGAGATTTAGAAAATCTCAGGACTCGAGAGAATTTGAGCCATCATCTATTTCATTTTCAGATACAGTGTTTGATTCTCCTGTACAGGATACCCCCCAAAATGTTTTTTAAATCCTCTATTTGAACACCACCAGAAATGAAACTATGCCAAGAGAAACTGTACACTTTCATGGTTTCAATTATAATCTCATCACTGAACACTCCAAAATCATTTATTTCTCTCCCTGACATCTCTCCCAATTTTAGTCATAAATCTTTAACCCTACTGGACATTTCTGCTTTGTAATAATAGCTCCCACATCTCCAAAACCCCAAATTTGGACCCTTTGCAACAGAACGGCTATTTCTCTTGACTTCTTTAGTTTGGATAACAATTCTTCAGACTTAAACCTTGGAACTACCTTGACTCCTCTTCATCTGGTCAGTCACTGAGTAGAGTCTAACATTGTAATGTCTCTTAAATGCACCCATTTATTGTGTCCAGGGATACTATTCTAATGCAACATGATTTCTAATAGGGGGTTTCTACTAATGTAGTCATGTGCTGCATAGCAATGTTTCTGTCAATGACAGAACATATATATGATGTTGGCTATACCATATGGCCTAAGTGTGTAGCAGGCTATATCATCCTGGTTTGTGTAAATACACTCCAGGATGTTTACACAAGCAATGACAAAATAGCCTAATGGTGTATTTCTCAGAAAGTATCCCTGTGAACAAGTAATTGTATATTCTAACTTGTTTTCCCACCTCCCAGACTCATTCCCACCAACACACCTTTGGAAAGTTAATCTTCAATCATTCATTCCTAAACATTTTTGAACATCTACTCTGTGCCATGCTACGTGTTAGACATACAAAGAAACAAGACAAAACTCTGCCCCTTTGAGAACCCTTCAGTGGAAGGGAAGAACCTGTAAACAATTTATTATAAAAGATAATATTTATTTCAGTATATTATACATAAACATTCAAATACTACCAAACTGGAGCTCATGTGCCTTATTAACTGGGCATTGTGTACATTCTATGCACCTGGACAACCAGTACCAGTGCTGGGGCCCACAGGATAGGGAAGCAATGATTACTTGCTGAATAATCCATTGATCTGCATTTACTGCCAACAATATATGCTGTATAGACCACTTCTTTTCCTTCCTTCAGTACTTCACTTTGTCCAATTTGACCTGCTTCAGAAGTCTTCTTTTTTAAGTTCTGTATACTATGACATTAACAATATGGGCTAAATTATCCACACAGATTCTATTATGAAATGCACCTACATTGCTGACATCTAATGAAGCCAGCAGGGCCCACATTCCTTTCCCTGTAGCATTGAACTCCAGTTAATTGACCTGACAAAATTACAAGAATCACAGAATAAGACAGCTAATCAGAAAATCAAAATGTATTACTAGAGAAATTAGGCAGGCCCTTATCATGTATACATTCTATTTTCACATAAAAATTATTTTCTCTCATTACTGATCAGTTTCCATCCAGGAGTAAAAACTATAAACTTATTAATCTTTTGGATTCAAGGGGCCAAGAAGAGCCCATTTGTACTCAAGGCAGACTTTAATTGGCATTTTTTACATTTGCATAATGCATTTCCCTAATGCCTCTGTATCTGAGATTGTGAGTCAAGCAGTTTGGGCACAATCTGGTGTGACAACTGTATGAGGTTTAAAACTCTACTGCAGGAGGTAAATTCTATCCAAAGTGATAACTGTTAGCTTCAAAGTGGTACTACTTACTTCCATAAACTGACCAATTTGTTAAAATACAAATTGCACGATTCAGCAACAAAATCTTACTGAACACCCTCAGCCTCAATTCTTCTGGGAATCATAATCCTGATAATAAAGATACTGAAATAATTTTCCCTTATTTTCTGCCCAGGATCATAATCTGGTATCCAAAGATTCCAATCATCTCCTTTTTAGATTTCCCCCACATGCCAAAAACAAAATTCAGATTATTAAACTGTTCTGAATAAGATTATATTTAAATAAAATATGTATCATTTTAAATTATCTAAAAATTAATGCTTACTTATTATAAATATCTCCATATTATCTAATGAAATAATATTAGAAAATGTCTCAAACGCATACCCACTCATAGACACAATTCAGTAAATTGGACATTTTTTCCAGGTATTCCATTTTTCAGAAAGATTTACTTCACTGAAGTTCAAACACAGCTCAAGAAAGATAGTTAAGAATGTTTACCAATAAATGAGAAATTTTGTTTATCCCGATTTAAATTTTGTGTTTGTCTTTCCAGCAATACTACAAGCTGCTATTTGCTCTCAATCACATAATACAATAGCACTTAGCTCGATCCCTAGTGTAAACAAACTGCATTAATTCCAATCAAATCAAAATGACAAAGAACAGTTAAATTAACTAGTTTCCTCCAATTTCATTAATAAGTCTGGGTTAATGCATACCAAAATACAATGGCAGAAATATCGGAGCTTGATGTCATAATTAATTTACAAGATCTGATTAAACCTCCAACCATTTTAATTCTCTTCTCTACAGGAACCACAACAGAAGAGAAGAATTTGAGGGATGTGAGATTGGCATGGTGTGTGTGTCTGTTTGTGTATGTGTGTGTGTGTATGTGTATGTGTTGGGATATGTAGGTAGGGAGTGCTAGTAGGGCAGTAATCATTATTTACTGTCAGTGTCCATTAGAAATAATTATTAAATATTTTTATCTTCATCCCTGTATATGACTGACCCAGAGAGGTACTCCAAGACCATTTATTTTAGTAAAGTTCTTCTTGAATTAACGAAGAAAAAAATGTTGTTATTTAAAATTCTGTCTGTTTTCTTTAATCACAGAAGGCGGAGGAGGAAGCTTGATATTTACCGATGATACTTTTGTGTTAAAGCTTAACAGATACTCCTGTCTGTAAAGTTGAGTGGACACTGCCCCTCACCGTGGCAGTTTCAATTAGTTTAATACAAGTTTCAACAATCAAACGCCCCAGAGAAGGCAATGGTTGTGACAAAGAGGACTCTGTTAAACAATTAATGTCACTTTTCATTATAGCTTTGGTCCCAATTTACAAAGCAAATAAATCAAAGTCACCACAGATGAAGCACACTGGCCTACCAACACATGTCTGTTCACAGGTGACAGGGTATGGAAACACATTAGTCAGGAAAATGACATTGCAAGATATCCTTTCAATGACTTGGCTCTGACTGTGCTTTCTAATTGTTTGAAATATACTTAGCTCCAACTAATTTTTAAAAAAGAAGAGAAAAGCAGAGACATGTAAAGGAAAGCAGATCACCAATTGGGTAGTCATCTGCAGCTACACAAACTAAGCTCAGTTTTGGAGCCACAGCAGAGGTAGAAATCCAGGTAGAAAACAGGCCAACAGGCATTTCCAAAGTTTAGCTCTATGGCTGTTAAGCAGCATTTCCTGACGCAGTTCTTCCGATCTAAATAAAGGTATCTGTGACCACAACATTTTCTTCTCTAAGAGCTCTTCAGAAAGAATGAGAGCACATCAACAAAAACTTATTCAAGGTGTAAAGAAATTCCAGTGACACATGATACACATGCACTTATACTAACAACCCAAAATTTAGAATCTACAATTCCTAAGCCACGTCATTAATAAATGATAGTTTAGGAGATTCAACAATCGCTTAGACTTATCTTAGAAACCTATCTTAGAAAGTTCATCACTGCTCTTTGGGACTGCCAGTCTTTATATGACCTGCATTAAGTCTGACATAATTCAAAAGGCACAGTTGAAAGAAGGTAGTTTCACCCCTTTGGGTGCCCAGGGTCACCTCAAGATTGAAATTCTGGATCCAGTCTATAATATCTTGCACTCTCTCTTCTGTGAGCAGTTGGCAAAAGGATCTTCCAACTAGTTATAGATGGTAGGGTAGACAGTGCATTCAACTCACCCAACTACACACAGAGGGTGAATAAATCCACTAAATTAAGGAGGAGATGAGGGACTCCAAGATATTAACTGACACCTGAAGGGAGAATGAGAGTGAAAACTGTATGGGGTATTCCAAAGACTTTTAAATGTAGCTTATTACAGAAGGACCAAGCCCTGCTTATGATAGTAATTTTTTCTGCATCTTGTAGATTTTCAATTATACTCTGCATCCCCAGATTCTCACACTCACTTGATCTCTGTTTGATAAAAATAGTTTAATAGCCATTTAATCACAGCTTCATTATCTTAGGTCTCTTAATGCGAATTAGGCCAGGAGAATTCTCGCTTCCTCATTATTCAAATCATCAATAAGAAGGAAACAGTGGGGTCTTCTCATTCTTTAATCAGTTCCAGTATCTTAGGTACTGTTTACCTAGAGATCAGTCTGTGCGAGAGGTCACCTAACCTCTCTGAGCCTCTATTTTTTTTTTCCTATGCAAAATTTCAGGTTATCATTATTTGTCTAATTCCTGTTATGGAACTTTTCCCGCATTCGTGATGAACAGAAAGAAAAAGAGTTGATAAAGGCCTGAGAATTCTTCAAGAAGGTGTTCTAATCATTTCCAGTATATATGCCCATCATCTTGACTAATCGTATTTGAATTTCATTCTTTGAGCACAATCTACTGCCAACTTCTAGCACTGGGCCAGCTTCCCCTAGATACCCAGCATGCCCTGGGCTTC